TGAAAATAACCTAAGGCAAATAACTTATGAAGAGAAAAATGTTATTGTGAAATTCCTGGTTCTGGAGGTTCCAGTTTAAGAGTGGGTGAGCCATCCACTTTTGGGCCTCTAAAAAGGCAGCACAATCATATGGGATGCATAACAGGGGTAGACTGCTACATCATAAGCCAGGAAAACAAACAAGGGAGAACAAGTTCTATAGTCACTTTCCAGTGGCACAGCCCAAGATGTAGGACCTCCTCACTAGTCCCCACTGCCCAAAGGTTCTCTAGCACCTCCTTGTAGTACCACCCTGAGGACAAAGTCTTTAATACATGGACCTTTGGGGGGCACTATTCTTATTTAACCCATAGCATACTGTAAATGGTATGGCTAGAGAAGTCAACTCCACATTCCATTTGAGTATTAAGTTACTTTAGAGTATCACATTGAATTAAAATCAGTGGAAAGACAAAGTTTTTTGAAAGGGACCAAGGCAAACGCAAATGGGAATTTAGTTTAAATAACAGTGGAGGAATTTCCTTACTTCTCTGTTTTACATACTTTCCACTTACAGCTACTTAGGAGTATCTTTCATATGGCAAGTTAATTTAGTGCTGGAGGCCTTGAGGAGGTCAAGTAAATATGGAATACTGAGTCTGCTTTCCCTGTGCTTGAATCTCCTCCATCGTAATCCCTTATGTGGTGTTACTGAAGTTGCAGTACCAGAATCCTCCTCTGACAAGTAAAATTTTGTAGTCCACTCTAGGTATAAGAAATGGCATATCTTTTCTAAAAATGTTTAATCAAATATGCTTCCCTCACCCATACTGTCCTTACAAATCAGGTGCTTTTTTTTTTTTTTTCTTTTTCTTTTATTATTCATATGTGCATACAAGGCTTGGGTCATTTCTCCCCCCTGCCCCCACCCCTCCCTTACCACCCACTCCCCCCTCCCTCTCCCCCCACCCCTCAATACCCAGCAGAAACTATTTTGCCCTTATTTCTAATTTTGTTGTAGAGAGAGTATAAGCAATAATAGGAAGGAACAAGGGTTTTTGCTGGTTGAGATAAGGATAGCTATACAGGGCATTGACTCACATTGATTTCCTGTGCATGTGTGTTACCTTCTAGGTTAATTCTTCTTAATCTAACCTTTTCTCTAGTTCCTGGTCCCCTTTTCCTATTGGCCTCAGTTGCTTTTAAGGTATCTGCTTTAGTTTCTCTGCGTTAAGGGCAACAAATGCTAGCTAGTTTTTTATGTGTCTTACCTATCCTCACCCCTCCCTTGTGTGCTCTCGCTTTTATCATGTGCTCATAGTCTAATCCCATTGTTGTGTTTGCCCTTGATCTAATGTCCACATATGAGGGAGAACATACGATTTTTGGTCTTTTGGGCCAGGCTAACCTCACTCAGAATGATGTTCTCCAATTCCATCTATTTACCAGCGAATGATAACATTTCGTTCTTTTTCATGGCTGCATAAAATTCCATTGTGTATAGATACCATATTTTCTTAATCCATTCGTCAGTTGTGGGGAATCTTGGCTGTTTCCATAACTTGGCTATTGTGAATAGTGCCACAATAAACATGGGTGTGCAGGTAAATAGGTGCTTTTTTAAAGAGACATTTGTTTTATTATCATTTGCCCCAAATGGTGAATTTGACAAAAGGGATATATATGTAAGGTGAAAGCCTATGCTTTTTAACATCATGAAGAGAGAAAAACTTCTTTTTATTTTTAGCCCTGTTCCAATTGGGCCTAACCAGCTCTTGCTAAGAGGAACCCAGGTGAGAAATACTCAGTGGATCATTGGCATAGTCATTTATACTGGATCTGAAACCAAATTCATGCAGGTAAAATAATCTGTGATGACAAACAGTTGTGTCTAGTTTTTCCTTCTGCTTCTGGGAAGTGAGGGGCTTACCATATATTTTTTTAATTCAGAAGGGTGAATTCTGTTTGTTATTCTGAAATTTGAAGGGAAGTCACTCTTTCACCTCCAGCTTTAGATATTTCTTTTAACTTTTAAAATTATTTCTTAACCATATATTTATTATGTAAAGTACAAGTGCTTTGTTTGTATACTAACAGTCTTCTTCTTTTTTTTTTTATCTTGGTTTTTTGGGTTTGGTGTGTCTGTGTGTTATTGTACAGAATGCTGTCACATCACCTCTGAAGAAATCAAAGGTTGAAAAAGTGACCAACCTGCAAATCCTTATATTGTTCCTGTTTCTCTTGATCATGTCCATGGTGAGCTGTGTGGGAGCCATGTTCTTGGATGAATGTATGGTGAGAACATAGTGGTACATGAAAATGAATGGTAAACGTGTGCAGAGGGATCCAGAATACTGCCACTTTTGGACATTTGTTATGCTTTTTTAAGTGAGTTAGTTAAAATGACTTTAAAAAGACTTTTCCATGCTTGTGATTAAAAGGGAGAACAATTACTCTGTTGTATTTGGAGTTTTTGAGAACCTGATTATGAGATAGTATTAAGAAAGAGAATATTCCCACTATTATTGTTTTTTTTTTGAGCAAGATCTGCATATAGCTGAGGCTGAATTCAGAACCTATGGAACCTTTAGCGGGCCTGAAAAATCAACTGATGTAGTTCAAGGATGGTCCTTGAACTCATAATCTTCTTGTTTGGAATCCTCCCAAGTGCTAGGATTACAGATGTGAACTACCACACCTGGGTCCTCCTTAAAAATTAAAAAAAATTTTTTTTTCTAATTCACTAGTAACAATTTTATATACTTATGCAGTATATACACATATATATTGTGTGTTGTAATGTATTCGTAGATTAACGTAACAATTGATTTTCACATATGTTGTACAATTGTGGAATGAATGTCACCAATTATCTTAAATTATGTTAATGTGTATATATATTACCTCACCATTTTTTTGTGCTGAGAACATTAAAGAACTACTCTCTTACCAGTTTTCAAACATAGAATACCTTATTATTAATGATAGTCACATGACTGTATGAATTGATCTTAAGAACTTAATTCCTCTCTGTGGTAACTGAAGCTTTACACTCTTCGAACTAGGCATCTCCACATTCCATCACTCCTCCTGTCCCACAGTGCCTGGAAACGCCATTCTACTCTACTGAAATGAGTGACTTTTTTTACATTCTACACATAAGTGAGATCATGCAGTATTTTTCTTTCTGTGATTGACATTTCAACTAGCATAATGTCCTTCAAGTTTATCCATGTTCTTACAAATAATAAGATTTTCTTCCTTTTAAGACTGAATCATATTCGGTCAGTATGTGTGACATTTTCCTTTATTCCATTAGCCAGTTGATGGACACAATAGGTTGATTCTATACCTTGGCTATTATAAATATCTTGCAAGAACACAGTTATCTTTTGATGGCACTTTATTTCCTTACTTTGTAATATATATTCACGTAGTGGAATTTTCTGGATAATATGAATAGTTATGTTTTAACTTATTAAATGGGACCTCCATATATTTTCCACAATGGATGTGCCCAAATTTATATTCTTAGTAAACAGGTACAAGGACCTCTTTTTTTACATATTTGTTACTCTTTACTCATTTAATTGGTCAAAGTTATTCTATACAGGTTGCTGATTATGCCACTTATGTGGCTTTAATTTACATTTCTCTGATAACTAGTAATGTTGGGTATTTGTTCTTTTGAGAAATGTCTATATAGGTCTTTTACCCATTTTTAAATTGGGTTACTTATTTTCTTGCTGTTGGGTTGAGTTCCTTATATACTGGATATTCCCCTTGTAAGGGATATAATTTAAGTTTTAAAAAGATTATTCTGACAAGTATGCATAATTATTGCATTCCAAAATAAAGGAGAGAGTTAAGAGTAAGGGCAAAAGCATAAGATTGTAAGACACACGTGAAAGGGTCCATGTCTTTGCCTCTACTACTTAATAACTTAGTAATAAGATTTGTACTTCTGTACACCTTACTTCCCTCATTTGAAATTGGGGCTAATACTACCTTATTGGGTTGTTATAGTGCTTTGTGTGCAATGTTTGGTGCTGAGAAAATGAAGACAATGGGTCTTGGGTCGGGGATTCAGTGATTAAATTGACCTGCTGTCTGTAAAAGATTATAAAATATTTTAAACTGCTATTTGGCATTGAAAGTTCAGTATTTTTTGTAAACATGTTTTAGAGTAAACTATTACATGTCTTTCTTACCTTTGTAATCTATCTCTGAGGACCTTGTTAGGAGCATTTTAAGAATAAAGAAACTAAGCTGTAAACTTTATCAATAGGATAAAAAAATGAAGGTTTCATTCTTATGCAGTATTGATTTCAAGATGTTAAACATGAATTTTTTATTTCAAGGTTATGGATCTTATACTACTTTTAAAAGATAATCTGAATTTGAATCTGTTTGTTTGATTTGGTCTAACTCAAGAGTATGAACGTTATTTGTGTTGGTCACCTTTCTATCACTATAAAAAGATATCTGAGATGATCACATTCCAAAGAGAGAAGGACTGTTTTAGTTCAGTGTTTCAGAGGCTTCACTCCATGATCAGTTGGCTTCATTGCTGTGGGCCTGTGGTGAGGCAGTATATCATGGGAGAAGCACATGACAGAGCAAAACTACTTTTATTCCAAGGTGGGAAGCAAAGAGGGAGGGAAGGAGACCAGAGTCCCAGTGTTCCTTGGAGGCACACCCCAGTGACCTCCGACTAGGCCCCACCTTTTAAATGTTCCACTGCCTCCCAGTAGCACCACTCTGGGCACCAGGCCTTTAACACATGGGCACTTGGGAGACATTCAGCATCCAAATTATAGCAGTATCTTAGTTTGAAACAGATGTGAAAACTTACAAAATTTATTTAATAATATTTTGAATCCTGTGTGTCAAGTTCTGTATACTATATAATTATTTTTTCTTCCCTTTTTGATCAGACTTCCTGAAAGAGAAGACGGCTCTTCCTGTTTTTCTATACTAGTCACTCTTGGGCTCATATAAAAAAGTAGTTATGCACACATAACAATTGGCTTCAGTGGCAGCCTATTGCCTTCACTGGGTTGGTATACCATTGCATAATGGCCCACTTTTTGTTTTGTAAATAAAGTTTTACCAAAACACAGCCACGCTTATTTTTGTATCCTCTGTGGCTGTTTTCACAGCCAAAGAGTTGGATAATTGCAGAAGAGAATGCATGGCCATCAAACTCCCAACTATTTACCTTCTGGCCATTAGTGAAAAATTTTTCCTACCCCTGGCTGATTAAAGTAATAACTGCATTTTCCGCAACTGATAAATCTGGCAAGCAATAAAGACTTTGTCTTAGTTTCTTTTTCCTTAAAATGGTCGGTATCTGCCTCTAGTTTTCTGAAAAGACTGATTTGTAAACATAAAGTAATATAGTGGGTAAAAAAAAGCATAATCATGGCAAAGAAAGGAAAGCTAGTAAACTGAGCATAATAAGAGTTTGAGTAGCTATTGATAGTGAATTAAACCTAACTTTTAAATTGATGGAATTTAGAAACATAGATTTAGCTCTTATTATCCTAAGTTACAAGTATGTTTTCTTTCAAGAAAAAGGAATGTAAATTTTTAACTTATAAATTAAAATTAGTATTTTATTTGAGTTGATTATATGGATATGTTTAATAAAATTCATTCCTCTAACAAAATAACTTGTGCTTAATCCTTTTCATTTATAGCCCTTCTCCATGTAACATAGTTTTATAAACTTAATGTATAAGATTGAGATGCAAGTTTTCACAAAGACATAGATAAGTCTGTGTTATTTAAATATTTTAAAGTTGGTTTCTGGGAAGTTAGGTTAAATTCTTCTTGGCATGTGTCTCAAACACACTTGTGTCTTTAAAAATTGAGTACATTTGTCTATAAATTTTACAAAGTATGACATTTACTTCTTTTGCCTTACTTCCTCTTCTTTCTGAGTTTTAAACGTCATAATTATGTACATACATACACATAAATTCCCCAGTGTTGTTTAATATCTCTCTGACTTCAAACCTACTATTAGTTTCCAGCTAGAATGTCCTTGTATTCCCTTCCCCTTATCTCCTTTCTTCTTCAAACTTTGTTCCCCTCCTTTTCTTACACCCCCTTTGGAACACCCTCTTTGTGCTATTGTTGCTATATTCAGTTCCACATGGAATTCCTCATACCATCTTTAGTGATCCACCTTCCTTCTGTAGCAAGCTGCATTCTTGAAACTCATTTCTTTGCATTTGCCTTATTACATGGCTGATGTTTAATAATTTTTTTTGTATTCATTCCACTTTTAATAATATTTTTATAGAGAAAATTCCACAATTCTAACAATGTGATAATGCAATAAAATAGATGAAGAAAAGCCACTGCTTGAAGTGATGACATGGTTCCTTTGATTTTCTTCTACAGATTTGAGATCTTACAACTTTGGATTTGACAGTTTGGTGTTTATCATCTTGTACCACAACCTCATCCCCATCAGTCTGCTAGTAACTCTAGAAATTGTGAAATTTATTCAGGCTCAGTTTATAAACTGGGTGAGTATTAAAATCAGAAATTAAAAAAAAAAACTTCTCTCAAGCTATGGTCTTTTGTTTGCTTTCTAAGAATCCATGTAACCAAGTCCTTGTGTGCAAATATTGCAAATGATAGACCTAGTGTGCTTTCAACAGGAAATACCAGTGTGGTGTCACCACGGATCAGCAGTGCTTGGGTCTCTTTGGGTTAATCTTGAGGACATCACTTTTCATATTCTCTTCCTAGCAGTTAAGAAAGATTTAAGGGACAGGAGATTGGTAGCAAGTGTGGAGAAATAATTAATCCATTAAAATTCATGACGTTCAACAGAAGAGGAGAGACCTGCAGACTTACCGATTTTGGCACGAATGACAGAGATGTAATCATTCACGAACCTAAGGTTTCTTAGGTGACCACCATGTATGGAATGGTCATTGATACCTAATAAGTTGGGGACTGAACTAATTTTCCAGTTGGAATGTGTGGTTCCAATTTTAAATTATATCCTAAGCACTTATTCATTTATTTCTTAATGAATAAATATTTATTTTCTTTATAATAAAATTATTACGAAAATCCACGTTAAAAATATTCTCTGAATTTGTCAGTGACTTACTTGCCATTATTTGAAGACAAATGAATTCTCTTTTTTGTGTGGTGGTGGGGAAGAACTCAGGACGTTACACATGCTAGGTAAGCTCTCTACCACAGGCTGCAAATACTATTTTAGTCACCGCAAAGTGAGACAGAGTAGTTTCAAATGTATTCTCATTTAATTTTCTCTAAATGCTGAGAGGCAAGTTGTTGCTCCAGTTTTATAGATGTGGTAGCTAAAGCACAGAAATGTTAAATAACTTACTCTAAATTCAAGGCTTGGCTAAAGCAGAGCCAGGGAATTGAAAGCCAACTCTTTCAAATCATCAGTGTATCAAATTTGTTTTTACATGGCACTACCTTTCCTGAAGCAATGCTCCTTGTTTTGTTTTGACTCTGGTTTAGGCTTTGTTTTTCATTTCTTACAGGATGAAGATATGCATTATGAAGAAAGTAATATTTATGCCATGGCCAGAACATCTAACCTTAATGAAGAGCTTGGGCAGGTGAGAGATTCTTCCAAGACTGGAGCCTTCCAAGACTCTGGGGAAATTTTGTGGAAATGAAAATGCCAAAGTGAGCCATGGGGTATAGTTTCCATCAACACACATGGAGCCAGTCTGGAATTTATAAGTGCATTTTGTTCAAAATATTGATAATTCTGCATGATGGGTAAGTGATAATGCTACATCATGTTTAAGCAGAACAGGTATAGTACAAGTTGTTTTGTGTTTATGAAAGAGTGGAAAAGGTAGAGAAGAAGGTAGGGAAAGATTCTGTTAACCCTACTGTGTGTAGTCAGAACCTGCTGCTGGGAGCCTTTAACTCTCTTCGCTCTTCCTCCCTCCCTGAGGCAGATGAACCACAAGAAGCATCTGGGACTGCTATATAATTTTACATTTGCCAGACTCATATCTCTGTTCACAGTTGCCAGAAAGAGCAGTAATAAAACTTCTGCTTTTATAGTGAAAATTCCTCTCACAGTTCGACCTGACCTGGAATCCTATTGATGAGAAAGGAGAGATGTAACTCCCTGGCCACGAGTACCTCATGACAATAGAAAGATGCAGGAATTGGATGATGTGAAGTTAAGAATCAGCACTGTAACTTTGTACATAATTTACCTTTGAAATCACAGCCATACCTTTGTATGTGCAAATTAAATTTTTAAAATCTCCCACAGTTGTACCTAAAAGAAAAAACTAATTATGTTTCTAACTACTTTTTGTTCCTCATATGTTTTTACTTAGAATTACCTATTTGCTATCTTTCAGTTAATCATAGGAATGAGGTATGAAATAGTGGTAAACAGATTTTGTAGGGTCTTTTTATTTGTGTTTGGGTTTTTATTTTGGTTTGTTTTGGTATCATTTTTGTGTTGAATGTGTACTGTTTGCCTAAGCTGTCCCCCCCCAAACTCTTGGCTCAGGTGTGATCTTCTTCCCAAGTAGCTGAAACTTTGGCATGTACCACTATATCTAGCTAAAAGGAAGAATTTTGGAGTTAAATTTCCTGGCTTCCACTACTGACGAATGGATTAAGAAAATGTGGATTTACATACAAATGGAATTTTATGCAGCCATGAAGAAGAACGAAATGTATATTCGCTGGTAAATGGATGGAACTAGAGAAACATCATTCTGAGTGAGGTTAGCCGGCCCAAAGACCAAAAATTGTATGTTCTCCCTCATATGCGGACATTAGTCAAGGGCAAACACAACAAGGGATTGCGACTTTGACACATGATAAAAGTGAAAGCCACACAAGGGAGGGGTGAGGATAGGTAAGACCTAAATAAACTAGCTAGCATTTGTTGCCCTTAACGCAGAGAAACTAAAGCAGATACCTTAAAAGCAACTGAGGCCAATAGGAAAAGGGGACCAGGAACTAGAAGAAAGGTTAGATCAAAAAAGAATTAACCTAGAAGTGACAACACACACAGGAAATTAATGTGAAGCAATCCCCTGTATAGCTATCCTTCTCTTAACCAGCAAAAACCCTTGTTCCTTCCTATTATTGCTTATACTCTCTCTTCAACAAATTAGAGATAAGGGCAAAAATAGTTTCCTGCAGGGGGAGAAATGACCAAGCCTTGTATGCACATATGAATAATAAAACAATAAAAATTTAAAAAAATTTCCTGGCTTTATCCTTCAGCATGTATGTTCTAATGATAATTGGAAAAAGACTGTTTCATCTACATTGCCTGACTAATTGATGCCAGCCTCTTTATTTATTTTTTATTTTATTTATTTTTATTTTATTTTTTGTTGAAGAGAGAGTATAAGCCATAATAGGAAGGAACAAGGGTTTTTGCTGGTTAAGATAAGGATAGCTATACAGGGAGTTGACTCACATTAATTTCCTGTGCGTGTGTGTTACCTTCTAGGTTAATTCTTTTTGATCTAACCTTTTCTCTAGTTCCTGGTCCCCTTTTCCTATTGGCCTCAGTTGCTTTTAAGGTATCTGCTTTAGTTTCTCTGCGTTGAGGGCAACAAATGCTAGCTAGTTTTTTAGGTGTCTTACCTATTCTCACACCTCCCTTGTGTGCTCTCGCTTTTATCATGTGCTCAAAGTCCAATCCCATTGTTGTGTTTGCCATTGATCTAATGTCCGCATATGAGGGAGAACATATGATTTTTGGTCTTTTGGGCCAGGCTAACCTCACTCAGAATGATGTTCTCCAGTTCCATCCATTTACCAGCGAATGATAACATTTCATTCTTCTTCATAGCTGCATAAAATTCCATTGTGTATAGATACCACATTTTCTTGATCCATTCGTCAGTAGTGGGGCATCTTGTCTGTTTCCATAACTTGGCTATTGTGAATAGTGCTGCAATAAACATGGGTGTGCCGGTGATGCCAGCCTCTTTAGAGTAATAATTAAAAAGTGGGTGTTATGACTCAACCTTTGAAAATTGTTTATGCAGGTAAAACATAAAGATAAGAGCAGAAGTCAATGATACTTCAAACAGGAGGGTTATAGAGTTTAATATTCTGAATATATAATGAACTCCTACAACTCAATAGCAGAAAACAATCTAATTAAAGATGAGCAAAGGATTAAATAGCTATTTCTCCAAAGAAGATGTATAAGTGGACAATAAGCACATGAAAAGATGTTCAGTATCACTATCTTGAGGGAAATTCAAATCAAAACCACAGTGAGATATCACTCCATACCATTAGGATAGCTGTTATTAAAAGTAAATATAATAAATAAATGTTGATGAGAATGTGGAAAGCAGTATGCTGATTCCTCAAAAAATTAAACATATTGGGAGGCAGAGACAGGAAGATTACAATTCAAAGCCAGCCTAGGAAAAGTTAGCATGAGACCCTATCTGAAAACAAAGTACAAGAAGAAGACTGAGGACATGGCTCAAGTGCTGGAGTGCTTGCAAGGCACAAGACCCTTGGTCCAGTCCCCATGCTGTAAAACACAAAACCATGTGATCCATATAAACTCCACTTCAGGGTGCATACACAAAAAATTGGAAACAGATGTTCAACGTGATGTTGTACACCAGTGCTGATAAAATCATTCATAGTAAGAGAAAGAGAGAACACCTCAAATGGCCAGCATTGGACAAATGGATAAACAAAGTGTGGTATACCCGCACAATGCAGCACTACTCATTTTGTCATTACTCATTTACTCATTACTATATCAAATCAATTCTATTACATTTTTCTGTGTCCTATCTTATTTATTCAGACCTGAAAGAATTCATGTCTAAAATAATGTGAAATTCTTAAGATAAGCTTTGTATTCTCTAAATACTATTTACTTTTATCAAATTCTTATAGTCTTAATTTTCATATCATCTTTATAAGTGTTAGCTTTTACTATTACTTAATGTCTCTCTAACATTTTGTAATTTGAACTTTGAAGGTTTTTCACATTTTTGTTAGCATACATTAGTTGGATAGGGTGGTTTCATAGTGACATTTTTACATATGTTCTAACTGTACCTTGGTCAGATTCACTTCCTCCATCATTCTCCCACATTACCCTCCCCCTTAGAACAATCTCACAGGTTTCATTATTCTCTTTTCATACAAGTATATAAAGTGCATTGAACATACTCACCTTCCTTCACCCTCGCCATTCACCCTGCCTCCGACTTCTACTACTGCAGGAAAAGACCTGTTGTACATTACTGTCCTTCATTTTTTTGTATATACTCATCATTCAGAATGGTTTCACCATGATATTTCACGAATGACTGTATTTATTTTAATCAGTTTTTGCCCTCTATTACTTTTTCCCTTTCCTCTCTCCTCCCACCATTTTAATAGCTTTAAGTGCATTTCATTATGCCATACACATACACAGATGGAATGAATTTATATATTACTAGCCCTCTACCATTCTCTGCTCCTCTCCCACCTTCCCCTAGTCCCCTCAAACATGTCCTCTGGGACAAACATGTTTTCTCTTTCTACGTGTGTGCATATATGTGTATGTTGTGAGTGTGTGTGTGTGTGAGATCATGTATGTATTCATGTATACATTATCTTTTAGGAGGTCTAGCTTCCACATTTCAACATACAACCTTTGCCTTTCTGACCTGGCTTACTTTGCTTAGCATGGTGATCTCCAATTCCATACATTTACCTGTAAATGACATAAGTTTATTCTTCTTCATGACTGAATAGTACTCCATTCTGTAAATATACCAAATTTTAATTCATTTGTTCACATATGCATACATTGTTTGGCCATTTCTCCCCCTGCCCCTTGTCTCCTCACCCTACCTCTCCCCCACCCCCTTGCTTCCAGGCAGAACCTGTTCTGCCCTTTTCTCCAATTTTGTTGAAGAGAAGACATAAGCAATAATAAGAAAGACATAGCATTTTTGCTAGTTGAGATAAGGATAGCTATACAGAGAGATTTCTAGCATTGATTCCATGCACAAGTGTATTACAACCTGAATTGATTCATCTGTACCTGATCTTTTCACTGATTCCTGATCCCCTTCCCACATTGACCTCTGTCACTTTAAGGTTTCTGTATTAGTTCCTCTGCAGTGGGGACATCATACATGTTCATGTTTTGGGTTTCCTACCTAACCTCATACCACCTGTATGTGCTCTCCCCTTAGCATGTGTCCCAAGTTCGACCACATTGCTGAATTTGCCCTAGATCTAAAGTCTGCATTTGAGGGAGAACATACAGATTTTTGGTCTTCTGAGCCTGGCTAACCTCGCTCAGAATGATGTTCTCCAGTTCTATCTATTTACTTGAGAATGATAAGATTTCATTCTTCTTCATGGCTGAGTAAAACTCCATTGTGTATAAGTACCAAATATACCAAATTTTAAAAATCCATTTATCAGATTTAGGGCATCTGGGCTGTTTATATAGCTTCGTTACTGTGAATGATGCTGCAATAAACATGGTTGTGCAGGTGCCTCTATTGTATCCTGATTTATATTCCTTTAGATATATGCCCAGAAGTGATATGGCTGAATCATATGTTAGGTCTGTTTTTTAGTT